CCACGAGCTCCAGCAATGAAAGCCTTGTCCAGCTCGAGCAAGACATGGGCTTGGTGGAGAGTTTCTGCTCCTGCCAAATGCATGCGAGCACGGCCGGCCTCCCGTTGTTCGTGCATCACCCATTCGTGGTATGGAAATGTCGTCTCATAGGGTGCCCGGGTGCGGAACAAAGTTGCATTGCCGCACTGACGTTGCATGTCTATCACGGCCAGGTGTCTGATGTGCCAGTATTGTGGGGCCCATGGGCATCCAGCCAAGACCACCCGGAGCGGAACTTCGAACTGTCGAGCTATGTTCTTCTTGGTTCCCACCGTGGTCCACATGCTGAGGTCATAAACGAAATGCAAAAGCTCGTAATCTGTGCCATAGCCGATGACCGGGGAAAGCACCTTTCGAATGAAGCCGCGCTTGATTCTGCCCATCTTGCTCTGCTGGATGTCTGGGCTGGGTCCACTGCTTTCGTCACTGGCTTCCGTGCTGTCCTCATCAGTGTCTTCCACATCGGAATCCACTGTTTGGCGCTTGGCTTTGCGCTTTTTCGCCCGTCGGGTTTCATGCGAAGCTCTTGCCACCGTTTCGCAAAGGTTGCGATGCCAGTAGAGGTGGGGCCATAGTGCGCACTCTAGACCTTATTCTCTCCGGTGGCATCGGGGAACGAAAGGTTTGATTATGATTTCGGGGGTTACGCGGCAAGAAAGAAAAATCTGCGATAGCCAAATTTCATGCAAGCAACCTTCTTGCTCGATGTAGCGAAGCGGCCTCTTGCGCAGCTTCTCCTCGGCATCTTTCCCGTGCCTGTTCAAGAATTCCAAATGCTTGTCATAGAATGCGCAGTAGTCGCTATCTCTGCAGCTCAGGAGATGATTCAGAGCTGCTCGAGCTTTTCGTCGATCTGCCTTTGGGAGCTTTTTGATCTTGCTCTCCACGCTTCTGGGCGCCCATGCGAAAGAGATCATGCTCATGTGCACGCGATATCCGTAATCTGCTCGTACGGCTGGGCCTCGGAAGGGGAAGAGTTTACTTCGTATATATGTTCTATTTCTATCATGTCTGCTGAATGAATTACAAACACGTGTTTCGTCCACCCCGCCTGTGTTGATGTCGAGCGGTCGCAAAGCTTGCAAGACTTCCGGTGCCAGGTTTCGCAAAACTAGCGGGACATCCTCCAATGCAGGCACGTACTCCTCATGGCGGCAGGCCGTGCGCCTATTGGGTGTCATAGTAGCCTTCTTCACCCGCTTGAGGTCCATCGGCTCCAGATTTTGTGGCTGCAGCGAATGACATTTGGTGCACATGGCCCAAGATCCTTGCTTGCACCAAGCTTCGAGCATGCGAGCTGTTGGATCCTGCGGGGCGGGCAAGCCACAGTCGTTGGTCGCAAGATCGGCGATCTCGCCAAATCGAGCTCGAACTTCTGCAACTTCTTTTTCCTCTTGTTTTCGGGTGCCATGCTTGCCCTTGTGCTCCGGGCACATAACTTTTCGTCTGGCTCTTTGGCGATCTCTTCGAACGGCCTGCTCATATTCGATCTGCTCTTCTTCTTCCATCGGTGCCTTCAATGGTTTTCGGACTTCGAGCAACTGCTTCCATTCTTGTTTTGGTGGCTTGGCCTTGGCATTGGTCAGTTTGGACTTCATTTCGTGAGCTTTTTCTTGGCCTTGCCAATGCTCTATGTTGATCAATGCTTTGGATCTGTCTTCCGGAGGCAGCTTCTTCAATACAGGTAAAACTTTTGGCCGCTTGGATGCAAAGGCTCTTTCACACGCATCTGCACTGCAAAACATGCAATGCTTTTCTCCTCGTTTTGGTTGGATACTCGCGGGCGTGCCAGGCAGGGTTGTTGAAAAGGTGCAAGGCTTACCCGGGGTGCCCGGACATAGCTCGTTCGGCCGAGGCTGTCGCGCAGCAGGCTTTTTCTGCGCAGCTTGAACTTTCGCCTTTGACTTGGCACTTGCTCTTTGGCTGGCAGGCCGCTTCTTGGGCTGCGGCGCTGGCTCCTCTTGCGCTCTTTCGCTGCCTGCTTCTTCCATTCGATCCTCGAAGGGCTCGGGCTCAAACATAGGAATTTCATGGTCCCCGTCTTCACTTTCAGGTTCCACTGCATTCAAATCATGTTCATCTATGCCTTGTTCGAGATGGCCACTAGAATGATGCAGCTCGCCCGCATCAAATTCTATCTCAGCTTCTGGCGGAAGCTCCATCTGCTCATCTTCATCGCTATCCATGCTGAGCACTGAGCCCTCTGCAGCGAATGCGTCCGGATCTTTCAGCTGCGCACCAAACTCTGCTGCAAAGTATTCTTCGTGGATTTCTTCTGGCAATCGACGTAGGGC